GGTCGTTCACTGGAACAGGTTCCCCAGGGAAGTGGTCACAGCACCAAGCCTGTCAGAGTTCAAGGAGTATCTGGGTGATGCTCTTAGACACATGGTTTAGTTTTAGGTAGGAGGACCATGGAGTTGGACTCAATAATCCTTATGGGTGCCTTCCAACTGGAGGTTTTCTATGATTCTGTAATTAATATGCTGTGCATTTAGCACAGATTTTCATTTAGTTTTCTGGAAAAATATTATGACATATATCAGAGGAATGCTGGTCATGATTCCTTCTGGCATTGGCTAATGAGACATCTGGGTTTTGTAACGAGTACTATCAAACATTATGTGCCTGGGCTTTGGGCAGTTGCCTGCAGGGGACTAGAACATTCTTCCCCTGCTCACACTTTTTTGGAGCAGTATTTCTCAACATGTGAGAAGCTTAGGATTCAACTGAAGAACAAATGAATAGGGAGACAGGCAGAAGTGCTACCTGGTTGCGAGTGAAATGCAGTCTAAATTGCTCTAAAAGAAAAGTTACTTTTTTGATTGCTCTGAAGCACACAGAATAGTCTCCAGAGGGAAAAAAACAAGTGGTACTTTTGTTAGATGCCTGTCTCATTTGAAATGCTGATCACTACAACTGGAGTCAAGAGGAATTTTCTTTTGCATCAGACTGGCAGGAATCTTAGGGGTTTGGGTTTTTTGGTTTTGTTTTTTTTTTCTTGTTTTCTGTGTTAAATTCCATATGGTTTACTTTCTAGAATGTTCTGACATGATGTTACATATTTCCTTACTGTTGTAGCATAATACTGGTTCATTTTTAATGTGAGTCATACCCCCCCACTTATTCCTTGGCCCCACAAACAGCTGTATGGCAATGAGAAGGAAATGCAGGGGTATAAACGAGTAGCTGAAATTAAGGTGACAAAAGTGCATCCTCAGTCTTGCCATCTTTGTCTGGACAGACAGTTTAGCCTCCTTGGGCCTTAAGTAGCCTTATTTTAGTGTTTTTAAAAGTGCCTTGATGAAATATAATGGCCTACAATATACAGGGAGTAGATTGAATGATGTAATTGTTCTTTCTAGATATAAACTTCATTAGACTCTATAGAGGTGATAGTTAATCTGGACCTGACCTTCTCCCTTAGGCTATAAGTTTCTTTGTTGGGAAGGGCAGTTTAAGGAGTTTCCTCCTCACTCTCTTTTGTCCATTACTGCCCTCTTTGCTACAAACATACAATTTTTTTATATTATTTATTTATTTTTTGTTGGCCTGTACTGGTTTGTTGGTTGTAGGGAAGGAGGCTTAAAAGAGTAGGAGGATGTTCTCAGTCTGGGCAATGTGGAGGTGGAGCATGAGTAGTTGTCGTTGAGAAAGGATATACTACTCCTAGCCCAAGAATTCATAACTGCTAGTTGCTCTGTGTTGCCAAGAAGTCCCCAAAGAAAACCAATTGAAGAGAGAGGCAAGATGTGTGATCCCAGTTAATCTTTTTCATACTTACTTGGAGCCCTGGGTTGGAGGGGATGCAGGTTATGTCGGGAAAGGAAGAGGGAAGTCTTGAGGGAAGGGAGAATGAATCACATTTTTAGATTGTTGCCCAGAGGGTAGATGTACAGGAGTGTGTGTTAAGGGCCATGTGTATCTGTGACCATGAGGCTGAGTACAGAATTCCCTTTTAGACTTCAGAATGGTGTTTCAGAAGCTCAGGTTTAATTTATGAATGTTTCCAATTCTTGCATTTGCAGAGGAGCTTTCCTTAATATATCAACGAAGCATTAATGGATGCATTTTCATATAAATTTAAATTGTATGTCTAAGAAATTGTGTAATCTGTGTTTCTGGATCTTGTGAACTCAGCATTCTGTTGCAAAGAAACAACAATTTTTTTGCATCCTTTCTATCCCTTGGCCTCTGGATCTGACCATAAGAGGGAGTGAACTGGATTTGGTTCGTGCTCTCTGAAGGGTTTGTGGCGTGATGGAGGGTAGAATGGCTGCCTTGAAGCACAATATTCCTGTTTGAAAACACAGTCGTTGTTGGGGAGGAGAGGAAGAACCTGACAAGGGAGATCAGTGTGAAAATGAGCAATACGTCAGACCTGGTGGCTTGGGAAAGTGAGTTACTCAGGCTGTCTGCCCATTGTATGCAGGGAGAAGGTGGTTAAGCTGATTCTCTCGGGTAGCATCACAGGCCAGAGAAAAGTTGGGAGCATAATGAAAATTAACCCTTAGAAATAAGGGTTGAATAGAGGATTGATTGTGAGGTGCAGCCATGTGCAGTACCTGAGTTGTGTCTAATGAATCTTGATATAAAAATAGCACAGAAAGCAGGCCTAAGATGGCATGTGTCATACAAAGGCACATCCTTTACTGGTAAAAATTGCAAAGTTTGACTGAAGTTCATGGTTCAAAATTCTCCACGTTTCTGCCCTGATAATTATGCCTTCTAACCCTTGGGTTGAGGATAGAGTAGGAAAAATGATTAAGCTTCTCTCTTTACTTTTCACACTAATAATTTGTGATTAATTTTGAAGGTGTGAATACAAATTAGATCTTTGTTTCCCTCTCCTTAATTTTCAATAAGCATCCCTCTGAAGACCTCAGAGCTGTTGTTTTGAGGGTTAGACAGAGGGGAATGTATTTGTGGCGTGCATATGGTGGTATTTATGTGCATTCACTGTTAAGATTCAGCTGGGTGACCTATATAGCATATAAACAGCTATGCTGGTAATAAAAACCAAGGAAATGTAGTAATGCATAGAAGCTAAGAGGTGTGGAGTAATTGTGAATACCACAGATTCAGCAGAAGGAAGGCTTGTGTTACTTCCTTCATTCTTCATTGTTTGTTCTTTTTTCTTCTTCTGGGTTTCCCCAGCATGCAGTTTGAAGATGGTGAACACTGAGCATAAATGAATTAGTATTTTTATCTGTATCCTACTGAGTATGGAATAAAAATTCAGATAGTTCTGTTTAAGGCAAAGTCTTGGGAAGAGACAAAATAGGTTTTCCTCAGTTATCTTGGGAAACACAAAGGTGAATATGTTATCTCAGCAGAATAAATCTTGCATGGTATATAGGAAAGCTGTAAGAAATAGAAAAATGTGTAAGAAATAAGCCTGCCACCTTGAAATGAACTTCTGTTCCTGTCTTTGTGCAAATCACCTCTAGGTAGTAACCAGTCAGCCTCCTTCCCTCTTGTCCTTTTCATCTCATAATGCTACCAGTGTTATTTGTAAATGGATTGCTGTAGCTTTAAAATACATTAATAATATAGCAGTTAAATATAGTTTGTCTATGCCTACAAGGTAGTAATCTGCTTAGGGTTCTAGTTCCCTTCATATTGTGTCTTTAACAATGATAAGCTGGTGGCTGGCATTTAGTAAGTAATATGACATCAGTTCAGATGACAACTTCCTCAATGTGAATGTTGTCTGAATAACAAACACTGCAAGGTCTAAAAAAGCTTTTTTTATCAGCCTGACCTTGACTTCTCACTTGAAAATATTCGACAGGGCTGCTCATTTTTTATTTTTTTTTTTTAATGCACCTATCGGACATATTGTTGTAACCTTTCTACTTTCCATTGAACTACCTCTCATCATGGATAGCAACCTCATTAGCACCAGCCAAAAACCCAGATTGTGCTAGACCTGATTCTTATTTACATTAAGATCCTTACGTGTCTTTGTGGCTAGATAAAGAACTTCTATACAGTATGTAAATTATGTGTTCTCTTAAAAACTAATATGCATACATAGAGATATTTGCAGAAGCTTTAAGCTTGTCATACACTGACAGAACTTGATATACATGAGTTCTTGATATAAAAAGGAATCAATCCCATTCTCTCCTGTTCCTAATATATCCATTAGGTTGGAGATAATTTGTGGTTTTGCTTGAAAAAATGCATACATGTTTTTTTCCATTTTCCTCAAAAACTCCTTAACTGCAAAAGATGCAGATGAGTTTCTTTCCTTTTGTATGCCATATTCCATATTCCAAATCCACACTGCATTTGAGACATATAAATGATACTGTGAGATAAAACTAAATTGTGTGGGCAGAAGAAAAAGGATCTGAAAAAAGCTTTACTTCCCTGCGTAGCAGTGAGAGACTGACCTCATGTGGTGTGAAACCAAAGTTGCCAGGGGAAATACAACAAGAATAAAACTCTGAATAAACTGAGTATCTTTGAAAAAATAATTTTTCTTATGCATTTCTGATTTTTGTTGGATTCTGCACCACTTATATTTAAATAATACTATTTTGGATCGTTTGTAATGTGATTGCTGATAAGAAGTTGACCAGTGTCTATGTTAGCAAAGACTCTTTTGTGTCCTGAAAAGGATACTCTAACAAGCTGACCTCAAGGCAGCAGGCTAGGAGCTGAGGCTCAATTATCCTGGCTGCTGCCTGTGCGTGATTTTAATTGAAATGAGTTGGAGTTTCATCTGAGCAAGTGACATGATAATCAGTCTTGGTTTCTAAGCCCTTTCTGGCACTTCCCCAGAAGCATGCTCACTCTGTGCCTTCACAGCCTTGCTCTGTAAAATGAAGACACTGGTTAGGAAAATTATGAAGTGTTACCATGCAGAATGGGAAGGATGTTCCTCTATATTTTTTTTCAATCACAAATAATATTAATTCTCAAGTCAATTCTGTTGGCATGATGCATCATGATTTATGGAAACATCCAGGTATATTAATAACAAAAGGAGGTTCTGTTATTTTGAAAAGTCTCCTTTTTAAATACATAACATTCATTTTGTTTTAAAGGATTTAGGGGATAATGTTGGTTGTGGACTCTCACAGGAAAATCTGCTTAAAAATCCTTTGGGCGATTCAGGTGGACTTGAAAAACTCTCTTCCCATCCTGTAGAGACTTTTCTATATGCTTAATTTTACTCTTTCTGTTCTGTATGTTGACTTAAATGTCTAAAATAACAAAAATCTATAGTATTTTCTAAAAGTACTCTGAGTTCTACATGACAAACCTTCCATTTTCTTCTTTACAGATCCTCTTGGAACCAGGGGTGATACAGGATGTATTAGCAGCTGGGAGTCATTTGCAGCTGCTGGAGCTTCTCAGTTTATGTTCTCACTATCTAATTCAGGTGAGGCTTCTCTGCCTGATTGTCAGACATTTCTGTTTGGTAAACTTTTGTTTCAAGCCTAATTTCAGCAGAAGAGTATTAGTACAATAGCTGGTGTAACTTAAATGGCAGTAGACTAGATCTCAGGAGTCTTGAATTTTGAGTGTAATTTGGATATCAGTTTGTGGTAGGTACTTTCTTCTCCTATTTCAGTCCTGACAACAGGGATGGTCCATTGATTAATATCAGCACATGAGGGTTTGATTCCCTCCTTTACCAGAGAATTTGCTTTCTCCTGCCTCAGTTTACCAAATGTTAGATATTTCTCTGTTGCAATCATGAGTATTGTGAAGCATTCAGATGTATAAGTATTCACGACAGAATATTGATGTGTTTTCCAGGGCACTAATACCTCTCACTGAAGGAGTACAGCTTATTACACTGGCATCTTATCAACTGGCCTTGTGCTCATAATGCTAATAACAACATCGACATTAAGGCTGTCATTGTGAAGCAAAAAATAGGAATCCAGTTAAAGATTTTTTTGTGCTTGACTTGTGTAGGACATGTTTCACCGTGGTAGCAAGAATATAGTTTTGGTGTGTATCTATGAAAAGCCTTATAAAACCGTTGGCAATAGAAATTCTACAGAACAGTTTCCTTTTCTTTGTAATTTTTCAGTATTGTTTCTGAAATAAGGAGCACTGGCTGTATCTGTTGGGCATGGAAATGCATGTCAGCACAGTCCTCTCCGTATGCACTTGCCTTCCAACAGCATAGCTGCCTTTGAACAGTCTGAGTGCGCTTGGCAGCATGCTGAGCTGCTGAGTACCATAGGCAGGATCTGATGTTAAGAGCCTCAGGACGTACTTGAAGGCTCTGTGTCTTGTGGAGAAGGAGTCTGTTTGAGTATTAGCTTTAGGGAAGCCTTCAAAATGTATATTTAAACAATCAGGTGGTATTAATTTGTGCATTATGAATTGAGTAAAAAGTTAAAGGAGCTGGTAGAGTACTGCAGTTTGTATCAGTTTTGTTTTCGAGAATGTAAAGAGAGATGTAATTTTTCTGAGATAGACATGGAGTGTAGTGGAAAATATGGTCAGTTTGAGAAATAAGAAATGCGCGATGCCAAATAAGCCACAAAACTATTTGTCCCAGCAGCTGTCAGGCAGGCATGGGAAGGGCTTACTGTGATGAGAAAGAGCATTTAATTCTAACATTGATAGTTATACAGTGTATTTAATGCCCCCCTAAAAAAAAGTGTGAGCATGTCTCTGCTGATTGCATGCTCTTTGCCAGAAATTGAACCAAAGTGACCATTACAGCAAAGAAGCTAGGGGAAATTTTAAAGAATAGGGAAGAAGCTGAGTATTGTAGTGCTGGTGAGGCAGGGACATGAGAGGACTGTAGGAAAGGAGCGGGTAAGTGCCCATTGTAAGTCCTTGCACTAACTTCTTCTATAACTTGCATTGAGTAGCTTCTGGTTTTTGTAGCCCTTCCCACAGTGCCATCTTAATACGTTTTGATCCCGAGGCCACTGCAGTGGAAAGACAACTGTAGAATTAGCAGTGCTTTGGATCTTGTCTTTGACGTGCAAGTCATTGGCAAGTATTTAGGAAAAGTCTGTTAATTAATTAAAAATAAAACAAATCAACCAGAGAACCATACCACCTCCCAACAAAACCCTGGGGTGAGCAAACATTGCTGCCAAATTACGCTGTAATTAACAGACCAGTAAAAATTCTGTGGAGGTGACAGTCAATATACAGTTACTCAAATGATGTGAAAGAGCTCTGTTGTATTCTGAGTAGTGTGCCAAGGTAGGGTAACTGGAGGCACACTGGTGTAAAAATCAAGAGGAAGAAGGACCCAGTGTCCAGATTTACAATAATGGAGGTAGGGAATAAGGTAGAGGATGAAAGGTTGGGAGTAAGGAGGAAAGTATATGTTGGGAGACAGAGAGCTGTGGTAGTTTGGCAAACTGTTTTTGAATCAGGGTCTCATTGTGAGGTTTTCAGTCTGCATGGACATCTGTGGGATGACCATAGTTTACATCGTATCAGGCTCTAGACTGTATTTTACTCTTTTTACAGTTTTGTTTTTTTTTTTTTACCAATTTCCCCCCAACAAGGCATATCTGTATTTGCAGTCTGAATAGATCACAGTAAGAAACTCTTGTTTGTTCTGCAGAGTTGCAGTCCATGCAAGTAATCAACCTTGAGTAGTTGTGTAAACCTTTTTAGCAGAGGTCAACAGGGTACAGTGCATAAAGACTGCACTATATTTTAAGGTCCAAATTAATTATATATTAATTATATATAATTAATATCTATGTTCTACATGCTATTGGGTGATTTTAAAAATATGTATTGTTTTATTTTAGTACTATCTAAAAATAAAATCAAAGTAGTTAAAGACAACTTCCTTAAAGCTACTTATCCTTGCTGCAGTTGGCAACTGGGGTGTCTTGTTTCCTCACATGCTATGATACGGATGATAAGAGACTAGTGCTTGCCCTTTCTCCTCTTTCTGATGAGTCCGAGTGCTGCAGTGTTCTTCATTTACTGTACTAGTGAATTTCTTTATTGCTGTTTTGATTTGTTCAGATAGCATGAACTTAGTTTAGCATAACTTCAGGAAATACAGTGTGTGGGTTCTATACTGTCATTTATTATTGTTGTGTAATGATGACACAGGGTTTTAACTTGCTAAGGTTGTCTTTAATTGTTTGGATTGGACGAGGCTCTTCCCGTAGAAGAATGCTGCTTTTACTGTTAGAGCTTGTTCCAGCTCTTCTCTTTCTCTAGATGTTCCAGCTTGTCAGTTTTTTTGGAGCTCAAGACAGTTTCATCTCTTCTTGACACTTTTATCTTAGGCCTGTAATTTTTCCACAGATTTCAATAAGGATTTTTTTTTTTTTTTGCTATAAATGCAATTGATGTGGCCCATACACATATCTGTTCCAAGGCATATCTATAGTCTGTGAGGTTCCAAAGACGACTGTACTGATCTAATTCATGTAATTTGTCTTGTTGGAGATGATTTGTGGTACACTGGGGGCAGATTAATTTCCAGCCAATGCTGACTTTTATATTCACTGATCATTAAGGAATTTCCTCTCCATTGTCTCAGAATAAACAAGATGTTATTTTGATTGTAAGAGAGATGCTCTTACTTATAGACCAACCAGCTTAGAGCACTTTAATTTTTGGATAAATCTCGAAAAGATTTCTGTAATGAATCATTTGAATCACAATTATGGCATTTTTATGAAGAGTTTTTGATCAAAGGAAAGATAGAAAAAAGAAGAACATTCTTTCCCCCCTCTCCCAAATAGGTGATATCCATCTCTTAAGATGTTTATGATAGTGTGATACAGTGGAGGTTTCTGACAACAATGCTAGTTTACTAAATGTGTTTAATAATCTGTAAACCTCTCATTATTAAATGTTCTGTAACATCCTAATGTTGATTCTATTTTCTCATTGGAAAACTCATTCTCATTTTTGATTGATAATTACTAATTTTTTTTTTAAAGAATTATAGATTATATTTTCTCTACTTGTAAACAAGAGAAATGCCCAAGCATTCCTTAATTTAGGTCTTAATTCCAGCTTTGTGTTGTGCAGACTTCTCCTTCTGCGTCAGCAGTGTCATATCTTGAGTTATGATTACTCCCAACTTTTGCTGTTTGAGGGTTTTGTATTTAGTTTGGTTTGTAGAGGGGGACTTTTTTTTGAAGCCTGCTGATGTATTTTATTGGAGGTACATGCATATTCATGAATCTCTCAGATCATGTCTGCATAATTCTCGGGTACTTCAAACATAGAAACAAGGTTCGAAATCTCACACATCTGTCTCAACCGAAACAAACTGTCAGGCAGCGTGATTGTTCTGAGCTGTATTTGCTGCTACGTAGATGTGGGGAAGCGAAGCTGAAGACTTGAGCTTCGTGTATCTTGAATTGCGCTAAGGTCCGTGATCGTGCACACAGCATCTTGCTTGCAGAGTGCACATCCAGTTCTCCAAGACTTGTTTCCTGAGTTCCTCTTCCAGCTCAGATTGATCGTCAGGTTTGGCTGAGGTTTTTGAAAGGAGGCTGAGGCAGAGAGCTGCAACCAACAGGTAGAGTTTGTTGCAGTATAAGGGGAATGGGTTATCGGAAGGTCTTGTTTCCCTTTTAAAAGTTTTTGAGTGTACCACAGCTGTCCTACTGTGACATTGAAGAAGGCAAGAAAAAGCTAGTTGAAGGTTTTGAATGTGATGAGGATCTGAGAATTGACTTAAATGGAGCTGTAGAGAACATGGTACTAGGTAGTGTGTTTGTGATGACCTATTTTGCACTTGTAAATGTTTTTCTGAAGGTTATGTAATGACTTTATTCTTTTGCAAGAGAACAAATGTGTTAAAAGATTTATTCAGAGCATAGAGATGTTTGTTTCATAAATATGTTTGAGTTGTATAACTGATTGTAGATGTAAGAAGTTTTGTTTTCATCAGCTGTTTGTGTATTCAGTACCAGAAAGCTACAAACTGCAAATTATTTCAAAAATCAAAGAGTCTAAATAAGGAGGGAATGATATTGAGAATATGAGTTTTTAATGGAATTTCCTTCTACTGATCGACATAAACTCGATATTGTGTGGGTATAGCTTTAGTAATCAGTTTTTAAACCAGAGGTTGGTTTCCACTGGCATTTAGGGATCTGGGACATAAGATTGTCCACACCTTAAAGCTAAGTGATTTTTCTGTATTTTCTAAAGTCTAGTATTACTGTTTTCAGCGGAGCTCTGTATACCTCCCGAATTTCATTCCAGGTAAGAGGGTGATAGGTGGAGTGAGGGGTTTAGAAGTTGCAGAACTGTTCAAAGCAAGCTGCTTGTTTCTGAGAGGCAGGACATGGTGTGATTGTTAGCATTAACCCCTTCAACTTTCTGCTCCCAGATCAGGCACATTTGTGAAGAACAAATTAAGTTTACATATTGGGTAGAGTCTGGAATACAATTTGTGTTATGTTTATT